GCAGGGACAGCACAGGGCAGGGCAGGGCAGGGGAAGGTGTGCAGGGGGAGCAGGTAAGGGCAGGGATCAGGGCAGGTGTGGACAGAGGGTGAGCAGGGACAGGGGAGAGCAGAGGGAAGGCAGGTGAGGAGGGCACAGAGAGCAGGTGAGGGCAGGTGAGCACAGGGAGAGGGCAGGGGAGGGAAGGTGTGCAGGGGTGAGGGCAGGGGAGGGCAGGGCCAGGACAGGTGTGGGCAGAGGGTGAGCAAGGACAGGGGAGGGCAGGGGGAGCACAGGGGCAGGGCAGGTGTGTGGGGACAGCACAGGTGTGTGGTGACTGGGCAGGTGTGTGGGGATACACATCTGCAGGGATGGAGTGGGCGGGCACACAGGTGTGGGCACAGGGACAGGTGTGGCACAGGGACAGGTGTGAGCATGGGACAGTTGTGGCACAGGGACAGGTGTGAGCACAGTACAGGTGTGACATCGGGACAGGTGTGAGCACAGGGACAGGTGTGAGACAGGGACATATGTGAGCACAATACAGGTGTGACACGGTCAGGTGTGACACAGGTGTAAGCACAGTACAGGTGTCACACAGTGCATGTGTGAGCACAGGGACAGGCGTGACACAGGACAGGTATGAGCACATACAGGTGTGGCACAGGGACAGGTGTGACACAGTACAGTTGTGGCACAGGGACAGTTGTGGCACAGAGACAGGTGTGAGCACAGGGACAGGCGTGACACAGGACAGGTATGAGCACATACAGGTGTGGCACAGGGACAGGTGTGACACAGTACAGTTGTGGCACAGGGACAGTTGTGGCACAGAGACAGGTGTGAGCACTGTACAAGTGTGGCACAGGGACAGGTGTGGCACAGGGACAGGTGTGGCACAGGGACAGGTGTGACACAGCCCCAGGTGTGTCCAGGTGCTCCCGTGCCCCTCACCTGCCGTGTCCCCCTGCAGAGCAGACAGATGGCACAGCCGTGGACATCTTCTCCTTCGGGATGTGTGCGCTGGAGGTGAGGGCAGAGCCCCCTGGGGCTCCCCAGGAGCTGGGAATGGCCTGGAGCTCTCCAGGACCTCCCACCCTCCTCCTCCTCCTGCTCCTCCTCCCACAGATGGCAGTGCTGGAGATCCAAACCAACGGTGACACTCGAGTGTCCGAGGAGGCAATCGCCAGAGCGCGGCACTCGCTGGACGATCCCAACATGAGGGTGAGGAGCAGAGCTGGGAATGGGGTGGGAATGGGAAGGGGCTGGAGGTGTCCAGGGGTGGGGATGGAGCTGGGAAGGGGCTGGAGGTGTCCAGGGATAGGGATGGAGCTGGGAAGGGGCTGGAGGTGCCCAAGGAAGAGCTGGTCATGGCGCTCAGTGCTCTAGTTGACAATAGTGATGGTCACTGGTTGGACTCAGTGGTCTTGGAGGTCTTTTCCAACCTCAATGATTCCATGACAAAGGGCAGGACAAGGGGAGATGGTGGAGTCACCATCCCTGGAGGTGTCCGAGGACATGTCACTCAGTGCTCTAGTCAGCAATGGTGATGGTCACAGGTTGGACCTGATGATCTCAAAGATCTTGTCCAACCTCTGTGATTCCATGACAAGAGGCAGGAGGAGAGGAAACACCTCAAGCTGCACTAGGGGAGATTCAGGTTGGACAGCAGGAGGAATTTCTCCATGGGAAGGGCTGTCAGGCATTGGAATGTGCTGCCCAGGGAGGTGGTGGAGTCACCATCCCTGGAGGTGTCCGAGGACATGTCACTCAGTGCTCTGCTCTAGCTGACAATGGTGATGGGTCACTGGTTGGACTTGATGGTCTTGGAGATCTTTTCCATCCTCAGTGACTCAGGGAGATACATCTGTGAGGAGATCCATGGCTGGAGCAGGGAAGGTCCTGCTCTGCTCCATCTTCTGCCTCTGCTCTGCCCCTCAGGAGTTCATCCTGTCCTGCCTGACCCTGAATCCGGAGAAGCGTCCAACAGCCAACAACCTCCTCTTCCACCGCGTCCTCTTTGAGGTCCATTCCCTGAAGCTCCTGGCAGCTCATTGCTTCATCAACAACCAGTGTGAGTGGCCCTGAGACCATGGCCGGGGGTGCCCAACCTGTGGGGACATACTGGGACAGCTGGGAATGGTCAACTGGAGAGGAGAAGGCACCAGGGAGAACTTAGAGCTTCTTCCAGTGCCTCAAGGAGCTCCAAGAGAGCTGCAGAGGGACTTGGAGCCACCTGGGCTGGTGGGAGGTGTCCTGGGGAGGGCTGGATGAGCTTTAAGGTCTTTCCAGCCCAACCCATTCCATGATTCTGGAGCTCCAGTGCTCTGGAAGGTTGGGAATGTCCAGCCTGGAGGAGAGAAGCTCCAGAGAGACCTCAGAGTCCCTTCCAGTGCCTAAAGGAGCTCCAGTGGAGCTGCAGAGGGACTTGGGAGATGGCATGGAAGGACAGGACAAGGAGTGATGGTTTCAAGTGGATTTTAATGGGATACTGGGAAGAAATTCCTCATTCTGAAGATGTTAAGGGACTGGGATGGAATTCTCAGAGCAGCTGTGGCTGCTCCATCCCTGGGAGTGTCCCAGGCCAGGCTGGATGGGGCTTGGAGCCACCTGGGCTGGTGGGAGGTGTCCCTGGATGAGCTCTGAGGTCCTTCCCACCCAACTCATTCCATGGTTCGGAATTGTTCCTGTGCCTCTGCTCCAGACCTGATGCCAGAGAATGTGGTGGAGGAGAAGATCAAGGAGCTGGACCTGAACATGGTGATGGCAGAGATCCGGAGGGAAGGGCGGCCTGGGGCGCAGTGGAGGTGAGCAGGAGCAACAGAGGAGGTTCTCCAGCCTTGAGTCCAGGCCTTGCATCCAGCATGGAGATGGCACAGGAGGCCTCTCCTGCCTCCCCTGTGACCCTCCTGCCTCCTCCTCCCACAGGTACTCCGAGGTGTCCTTCCTTGAGCTCGACAAGTTCTTGGAGGATGTCAGGTGGGTTGGAGAAATCTCAGGTGGTTGGAGAGGATGTCAGGTAGTTGGAGAGGACCTCAGGAGGGTTGAAGATGGAGGGGCCAGAGCTGAGCTGAGGGGACAGAGTTGAGCTGAGGGACACAAGGGACAGGACTTGGGTGGAGGGGACAGAGTGAGGGACACGAGGAACAGGACTGAGGTGGAGGAGACAGTGAGGGACATGAGAGACAGGACTGAGGTGGAGGGGACAGAGTGAGGGACACGAGGGACAGGACTGAGGTGGAGGAGGCAGAGTGAGGGACGTGAGGGACAGGACTGAGGTGGAGGGGACAGAGTGAGGGACACGAGGGACAGGACTGAGGTGGAGGAGGCAGAGTGAGGGACGTGAGGGACAGGACTGAGGTGGAGGGGACAGAGTGAGGGACACGAGGGACAGGACTGAGGTGGAGGAGGCAGAGTGAGGGACACGAGGGACAGGACTGAGGTGGAGGAGGCAGAGTGAGGGACACGAGGGACAGGACTGAGGTGGAGGAGGCAGAGTGAGGGACACGAGGGACAGGACTGAGGTGGAGGAGGCAGAGTGAGGGACACGAGGGACAGGACTGAGGTGGAGGAGGCAGAGTGAGGGACACGAGGGACAGGACTGAGGTGGAGGAGGCAGAGTGAGGGACACGAGGGACAGGACTGAGGTGGAGGAGGCAGAGTGAGGGACACGAGGGACAGGACTGAGGTGGAGGAGGCAGAGTGAGGGACACGAGGGACAGGACTGAGGTGGAGGAGGCAGAGTGAGGGACACGAGGGACAGGACTGAGGTGGAGGGGACAGAGTGAGGGACATGAGAGACAGGACTGAGGTGGAGGGGACAGAGTGAGGGACATGAGAGACAGGACTGAGGTGGAGGGGACAGAGTGAGGGACATGAGGGACAGGACTGAGCTAGTTGTCCTCCCTGTCCATGTCCAGGAATGGGATCTACCCACTGATGAACTTCGCGGTGTCCAGGCCCCACGCGCTGCCCCGAGCTCTGTCCCAGCCCCAGGAGGACACTCAGAAGGCCAAGACTCCAACCCCAGAGCCCTTTGATGTGGAGACCAGGAAGGTGGGTCACAGCTAGGGCAGCAGGAGCTTGGTGTCCTCCCACAGCCTGCGCAGGGTCACCTGTCCCAAGCTCCTGCCCGAGGCTGAGCTGAGCCCCAGGGATCCCACAGACCCTTGGGCTGGAGCTCCTGGGCTCCACTGCCCCTGGAACCTTCTGGAGAAGCTCTTGGCTCTGCCTTCCCTTCTCCCTGGCCACGGAGGTGGCTTCTGCTCCTCGGTGGAGCAGAGCAATTGCCCCTGTCTGAGTTCCTGCTTATTGAACTCTTGGTTGAACTCCTCTTGGTTGAGTTCCTCCTGTTTGAACTCCTCTTGCTTCCTCCTCTGCGGAGCAGAAAAATTCCTCCTGGTTGAGTTCCTCCTGGTTCCTCTGTGGAGCAGAGGAGTTCCTCCTGGCTGGATCCCTCCCGGTCTCTGCCACGTGGAGTGGGAATCGCAGGATGCTGTGGGAATTCCAGGCCTGAGTCCGAACCACATGGATTTGTGTCCTGCAGGTGGTGCAGATGCAATGCAACATGGAGCTCAACGAGGACAAGTCCCAGTGGCATGTGAGGAGCCAACTGGGGCTGCACCGGGAATGGGGTGGGGATGGGAACTCTGGGAAATGGGAATGGGGAACAGGAATGAGGGATGGGAACTCTGACTGGGAAATGGGGATGAGGAATGGGAAATGGGGATGAGGAATGGGAAATGGGGATGAGGAATGAGGAATGGGGATGGGGATGAGGAATGGGGATGGGAGTGGGGAAAGGCAATGGGAGTGGGAAATGGGAGTGGGGAATGGGACTGGGAAATTGGATGGGGAATGGGAATGGGACTGGGAAACTGGATGGGGAATGGGAATACAGGATGGGGATTGGGGAATGGGACTGGGAAGTCTGGGAAATGGGACTAGAGATGGGAATGGGGGTGGGAAATTGGATTGGGAAGTGGGACTGGGGAGTGGGACTGGGAAGTCTAACTGGGAAATGACGTCTGTCCCTTCCCGGAGCTGCGGGGTTTGCTTCCGGTGGGAGCTCTCCCTGCTCTCTCTGCTCTGTGCCCTCAGCTGACTCTGCTGCTGATCCTGGAGGACAAACTGCA